CATCCTCAGTACAGATATAAGGAAATCTCTGGAAATAAAATGATTGTTATTATTACTATACCAGTATCTATTAGCTTTATCAATCTGCTTCAGCATCTGCAATTTATGAAGTGGCTTTCTGGGCTTCTATCTCCCTACAGTAAAAGCTTTCCAAGAACCACCCAAAAATATTTATAAATAAGCAAATAATGCAAGGACAACAGAACTGAATGAGGGCTGTAACATTTACCATTGTTTCAATTAGAATAGGACACTTTCACTCTTTTAAGAGGGGTCTCAAACTGTGTGAAGATGATTACTTTCTCAAATATAATCTAAAAAATGGACAGAAAGCAAAATACTACTAAATGAATGTATATAGCAGTGCACCTTTGAGTGCGTGCCACTTTAAGGGCCGAGTCAGGCAGCCAGCAGGTGCCTGACAGCGGCAGCCATTTTGAGAACTAGATAAATAAAGGCTGCAGTTTGCTGCTACCAGCTCAAGTGGAAACATCACCTGGCTGAGCTGCAGAAGGAACACTAGGAGGTAAGGGCTTATGGGAGCTTATGGGGATAGCTAGGAGGCTTTTGATCCTGGGCATGACCTAAAACTGCACCCTGCCAGGGTTAGGTGGCCTGGTGGGGCTCCTGGTGGCGTGGGAGCCCCCAGGAAATGCCAGACCAGTTACCACCCCAGTGAAAGATGGGTTGGAGCACCTTGATAACCCCTGGCCCTCATCTTCAGGGGAGTTACATCTAGCAAGTGGGGCCAGGCACGGTTGAGGCCACCTGAGCCCACGTGGGATTGAGACCCCGGAGACCGCAGGAGGGGATAGAAGTGTAGTCCCAGAGAGAGGGGTGGTAGCATGTTCCCAGGGATGGGACAGGTGTATAGCCCTAGGGAAGAGGGCATAGTTGTGTGGTCCCGTACAGAGGAGGGTTGAATGGCAGTAGGCCTGAAGGGCTGTGTGTGAGGGAAGCTGAACAGGGAGTAGGCCTCAAGGGCAGTCCCAGGGGTGGGTTGAATAGGGCTGAACTTGGAGTAAGCCTGAAGGGCAGCACAAGGGCCAGCCCTGTGAGTAGTTGATTGTGAGGATGATAAGAACACCTCAAGGTGGGGCATGGTAGATGCCCTGGAGTGGGCATAGTAGGAACCCCATGTGTGGGGAAGACTCAGTAAATCCAGATTTAGATTAATCTATATGTGCAACATTATTTTAATTCAAAGACTAATTAAAAATTTCAAGCTCTGGAAACAGCACTAATTCCCTGTGTTCATAATAATATTACATTCATGTTGCTATACATGCAGCAAGGAAGTCTAACTACCTAACTCTAGGCAGCAAGAGTTTGACACTAACCTTCTAAATACTTCATGATGCATAGAAGTAGAATCTCACAATATGTACCAGAGGGAATGATTAACTCCTAACTATGCTAGAAGCAGATAACTTTTTAAAGCCAAATTAGTATTAAAATGCATACAGATGTTTTTCCATTACAAAAGTAAAAAAGGACCTGTAAACTTTTTTGTTTATGTCTTTTATTATATAGTTGATATTTCTTTGCGTGTGTAAAACCATATATTCTAGAAGGCTATCACTTACGCAAGGCAGCCTTCAAGACAAGGCAGTATTTAAACTTGGCCTACAACCAAAAAGAACATCATGGAATTGAATTAATCAAAATCAATAAATTAAACAGGTATCAAAGATAAAGATGGGCCTTACATGAGTAAAGATTACTCAAATCAGGAAGAAAGTCTATGTGCAAACATATACCATTTAGGTCAACTTGTATGACCTCATTTTTTTTTGAGCGCCAGTCACAGGAGCTCTTAGTGACATTTTTAATGAAAAATGAATGAGTGGCTTGCACCAGGACTAAAGTGGCTCATTTATGTATTAAAGAAAATGCAATTAAATGACAGCTAGAACTTATGAGCCTGACTAAAACAGTTGACATTGCAGAACCTGTTCCCAGAAATGCATTTCTCAGAGCAAAATATCACTATTAATTTTGATAGCAAATATTTTCAGATATTTCTGCCAGATAGCACAAAAATGATTATGTAAATAACAGAAATATGAAAACAAAATAGTAATATGAAATTAAAAGCAAACAAAGTAACAAGTTAAGTTAGTATAAAAAGTAATGTTATTTTCAGTTCATATGATTTTTTCTGGGAGAGGCGAGAAGTGTTTTCAAGCCCCTATCTGAAACGTCAAGGACACTTCACAGTTTTCTCCATTTCCTGTCCACCTTCTAGAGTTTGTGTACTTCCAACTAAGGATTCACTCCAACATCCAGCAACACTGGTTCAGAAATAGCTTCAGGTCTTGTAGCACAAAGATGAGGAACTCCTGCAACAGTTTCTAGTTTAAGAAACCCAATAATGCTGAGGTTTATATTTCATGTCTGGGTTTTGGGCAGTCCTGTCTGGCAAGAGAACAATGACTTGTATGTAACACTAGGTTTATCTTGCAGGTTAACTGTAGTGATGATCAAACATTCCCAAACAAACCTATGCTCCCCTATGGCTAGAAAACAAACATAGCTACCATCAGCAGAAAAGACATAGGAGAAAAATAGGTGTGTGGAGGAAAGAGTTCTTAAGGCAAAGACTGGGGTTAATGTGAAAATGTATCTGAAAAGAACTAGGACACAAAAAATACCAATAATTCTAACTAATGATATCAAAATAACCTTGAAAGAAAGATGCTGGAAATCTGATGTTTCTAGTTCACTAGTTACCATTCAGTTCAAATCCCTATGCATATTGCCTTCCCAGCAGAAGCATTGCCACTACAGCTGCTACATTATCACTTTCTATTAATATTTTTTCTCTTGTCTCTCCTCTGTCCTCCATGTCCTACAACATGCCCCCCCAAAAGAAGTGGCCACTGGGGTAATTCTCTCCGGAAAAGTGTTCCTGGCACTTGCACGTGTTTTCTTCTCCTGCTTTAACAGCTGCAAACATCTCAATAAAGTAACAGGGAAATGGGTCACATTTCAAAGGCTGATCAGTTAACATTTACTCAAGCCTCTGCTGCATTTTTCATTTTCACAAAAACGCCTTTTTTTTCTGACAACCACTTTGCATTACAGCTGCATTAATGATTAAAAAAAACTATTTTGGACTGTCCTTAAAGACAAGTTTTATGTATATCTTAGAGTTGGCCTCATGAGCAAAGCTTCAAATAGTACAACAAAAAGGAATGAGTCCTTTTGAAATATGCGCTAGCAGGTTAACATGCTCAGACATTTATTCTTACTTCAAATCCATCAGTTTTATTGCTCTAAACAAGCAACAAGATGGCATTTAATTTTGTATCAAAAGTTTACATGCACATCTACTTTATTTTGGGGGCATTAACAAAAAGCATGCATTTTTCAGATGCCCACCACGCCAGTCTAAACTCTGCCTTCATTCAATAAGGACACTCCAATAGAGAACTGGACTGGAGATTTCAAAGAGCTATCCAAACACCTGCAGTAACCTGCTACAATGCAAAAAGAAATCCAACTCTGTGACTGCACAGTCCTAGTGGTCACCTACCAAACAACACTGGAACCTATCAGAAGAATTAAACAACTACCAGCCTATGCTTGACAAAAGTCAGACCTTGAGAGAAATATTTCCAGCCCCTCTGCTCCTGGCCTTCAAACAGCCCCATAACCCTGTCCAACTTATCATCACTCCCCACTGCCCAACAGACATCATGTAGGGCCCAGCCTTGCCTTGGCAATACATGCTTAACCTTTCACCATATCTATCTCCACTGCCACTACAATCGACACCCCATCACAAAAACTGCAGTATCCATGGTTCCACACAAATTTTTCCAAAAATGTGATATACCTGGATCCAGTGCACCAAATGCCTTCATAGCAACTGTGTGTGTGAAACTGAACAGCAACTATGCAGCAGAATGAATTGTCACAGAAAAAAATATAAAGGACAGATGCACATACATTATTAGGAGCAAATTTCTCACAGAACAACCACTCCCTCTCTGACCTTGCCAGCCTCGTATTCGTGGGAAACTACCTAACACCTTCTGGCCACATCTGGAGGAGGAGTCAGATCAGATTGAATGGTCAGTTAGTAATGGAGCTTATACTAGAAACAGCCCTTAGTACAATTTTTTTTTGAAAAATGCAAACTCAACTGTATGTTATTTTAGCCGAAGTCTGTAACCTTTATTGTTACCTTCAGCAACAGCAGAATTAGCCCAATACTAAGCACTTTTAGAGATTTCACCTTCTTTCTTTAGGTAACACCTTCTCATCATTCTGCCCATGGTATTGATACTGATGGTAATGAAAGGGCTGTTTTAAAAGTGATGCCAAGAGAGGGTCTTTTTTACAGAGTGGAATAATCAGCTACTTAAACACCATCCGAGAGTTGACATTAAACTCAATTTTCAAAACATTTTCCTTTGAAAACCATCTAAAATGTTTTAGTTTTCAGTTTTTTGTGCATATTCAACCAGTTGAGCTAAGGAAGAATTCAAGAAAAAACAAATAAAAATGCCCAAATCCAGTGTAATGCTTTCAGTTCTTTATATACAGAAGACACTAATCAAGAAATACTCTCCAAACATAAAACCTGATTATGCAATTTGAACCCTGCAGAAAGACTGTGAAGAGTCCATGCTAATAAACCATATTGCAGAAGCTTAGCTGTATTTTATTATACATTTACATTTAATCAATAAAACATAAAAGTAGAAGTAGAAAAAGCCAGGGGCCATGGTTCTACATGTTTTGTGTTATTCCTAAAGTGCTAAACAGTCAAAAGATGATGAAATATGGCCACTAATATAGCAGTTATGGTTACATCCAGTATCTTTGCTTAGTCTTTCCATTTGTCAATGGAGGTTACTCATCTAAAATTTCACCCTCAGGTAAAATTCCACTTCAATTCAACAGGAATATTGCTTGAATTAGGATTGTGGGAGTTGGTCCAAAATTTACAGTATTAAAGTCAACTCTATTTGCATGCTAGATCACCTTACCTGTGGACATAATGTAACTGATGTACGGAATCAATCGCTATCACCATTTCAGCCAAATAAAAACGAGCCATATCTTCAGGTAACCTGTCCTCAAACTTGCTGAGCAGGGTGAGCAGATCTCCACCAACATAATAATCCATAACCAGGTACTATGATTAAAGGGAACAGGGGGGTGGTCACAGACATAAAGAAAAAAACTGTTTATTGAATGAATTAAGGAATAACCAAAACAAATTTAAGTATAGCAGTGTTGGATTGCAGAAAATGCCTGTATTTAGTCAAATGCAAGACAAGCCTTACCCCTCAGTTGGCATGGGGAAAAAAGCCCCTTGTCTTAATAATCACATACAAGGAGATCTCACTGAACACATTGTCTCTCATTAAACTGTTGCCAAATGCAGCATGCACTCAGTAACAGAAACCAAATATGAAGTTGATTAAATGCAGCCAACACTGAGCATGATTATAAAACATGTGGCTCACACTGGACAAACAAACTGATGGGAACCTTTTTTTCCCCCTGTATGGGGCCTTAAAAAAGCCAAGCAGTTGTTCCCCCAGGAGGGAATGAATACCAGCTCTAGAGGTGCAGCAATACCAAGCAAACACTTGGAGAAGCCAAAGCAAGCTCCAACACCTTCTCTTGGTGCCAAAAATGCTGATGGGAAACTTTCTTTTCTTTTCTTTTTTTTTGGGGGGGTGGGGTGGGGAGGAGATGCTGTTGTATTTCAGGTCAAATTAGCCAAATCAAGTCCAAATCCTTTCAGTTGAGCAAAACTCAATCACTCAAACACCAGATGTGGCACTACAACCAGTAAGTATCCTCCACCCAAGACTTTTCAGCTTGGGGCTTCAGATACTACCAAATCCACTGCCAGGCATCCTACATGCAGGCCCAAGGCCAGAGGCTTGGGGTTCGGATGACCCCAAGTCTCACCTCCCCTTAGCCTATGGCCACAGGAGCAAGCTAGGGAGAAGTTCCTCATTTCCATAAAATAGACATGTAGCTGAAATCCTCCAGCTGGAAGATGGCCATTAGGAAGCTAATTACATGATTCTTGTAGTGTCCTGTCTGCAGTATATTGGACAGGTGTGCACCCTCAATTACACAATGCCATTCAAACCCATCTTGGTCTGGGCAACAGACCTTGATCTTTTTCTTTAAGGAAAAATTTTCATGTCTGAACTCAAATCAATTCCAAATCTGTGTGAGTCATTCGAGAACCATATGTGGCCCTGCTACCAGCAAACATCCTCCACCCCTACCTGGAGCTTCAGATACTTCCAAATTCTTTGGTGGGCAATCTACCTGCAGGCCCAAGCCCAGAGGACTGGGGTTCAGATTCCCCTGAGTTTCGCTTGCCCTCAGCCATATGGCCACAGGAGCAAGCTAGGGAGGAGTCTTGCATTTCCATAAAGTAGGTGTATAGCTGAGATCTTCCCACTGGAAATGAAAGTGGGAGGCTAATGATGCATTACCTCAGTCAGGATACTACCCCTTGCCACATTCATGGTTTTCCCCAGCCAGTACAAAAGCCACATTGGTGGTCCTGGTATTTCCCCTGACAGGTAATCTTGATCTACACCAGAAGGCTAAGTTAGTGCTAGCCCATGTGAATAAAACATACAATAGTGGCTGTTAAATCAGTCCCCTTGACCACTGACTCTTTTAAAAGTCATGGTGAGCCACTACATGGTATACATTTTGAGTTCTTCATTCCCACTGTTGAGCTGCACTTTTCTTTTCCATTTCCAGTGACTTGTTTCTTTATCAGCCTTAAAAGCCTGGCAAACATCATGAAACAGGGCCCCACACAGTTCACCCAGAATCCCTCTGTTGCCCTCTCTCTCAGCCTAGTGCATATGATCAGTGTGGTCCCATCCTTCATGAGGTGAAGCTAGACCAGGTTGGCCTGCACCTCATCTGAATAGACATTTTTGGAGGATCCCAGGACTCATGACAAAAATACCTGGTTCTAGTCATGAGTGGGGACTAATTAGGGCATGGATCCTTTTGGGGGCTGGGGTACTGAGTGGTGGGGTCACCATAACTTGAAATATTGTTGCTTGGTGTGGCTCAGCCCAATGAACTATGTGGGAAATCATGAGCCTTTGACTTTGAACTAATATCACGCTTCCTGGCCTCTTGTGGGCTAAGATCAAATGTAGTCGGTGCACTGGTCCAATACCCAAACCAAAATGTAATTCAAGTGGCAGTGCGTAGTGGATGGTGTACCCCTGTCTGCATGTGGCCACGAGTCCCTACGAGAGCCTCATAGTTAGCTTCCCATTGGCCAGTTTCCAGTGGAAGAACCTCAGCCTAAATGCTGACTTTATGGCAATGGGAGACTCCCCCCTGTGGCTGTACAGCTGAGGGCAAGTGAAACCTGGGGGTATCCAAACCCCAAGCCTCTGGGTTTGGGCCTGCATGCAGGATGCCTACCAAAGGATTTGGAAGTATCTGAAGTCCCAGAATGAAAAGTCTAGGATGAAGGATACTTACTGGTAGTAGGACCACATGAGGTTTTTGAATGATTCAAGGGATTCAGAACTGATCTGGCTAATCTGACCTGGTACAAAAAAAAAGTTCATGTTCATATACATACACACACACACACACACACACACACACACACACACACACACACACATATGTATACACACATATACATACTAGGGGTGCACTGATAGAGATTTTGGGCCAGTACCGATAGATGATATTTAAGGAGGCATATCGGCTGATACTGATCCAATATTCAATACAGCTGCCATCATGTGGTAAGACTGTTGGGGTGGAAGGGGAGGGAAGGGGCATGGGGGGGCAGGTCAATGCCCCCTATGATGAGAGAGGGGGCAAGGGCAGGTGTTTCCCAGGTGGGGGGGGGCATGGGACAGAGATGTGGCTTGTGGGGTGAGGCCAGATCCCACCACTGTTTGAAGCTGGGGGGGGGCATGTGCCCCTGGAACTGCACAGCGCAGGGTGGGCTGGAACTGCAGGGTGGAGCCAGAGCCGGCACTACGTGGGGCTTTTCTTGCTGGGCGGTGGCACAGGGCTGGGAGTGGAGCTATGGCAAAATTTGGGGTGGCTGCAGCCTCCTCCCAGGCCCACTGGAGCCTGCTCCAAGCCCAACCCCTGGCAAGAAAAGCCCTGCGCAGCGCCAGCTCTGGCTCCACCCTGTGCCCCCTGGGGTGCAAGCAGTGGCAGGAGCCGACCCCACCCCATGAACCACACCTCTGTCCCACCCCCCCAACTCCGACCCCAGCTGGGCAGTGCCTGCCCCTGCCCCCTCCCTCACTGTGGGGGGCATTGATCTACCCCTTCTCTTCCCTTCTGACTTAGCAGCTGGAGGCAGCTCTCCATGCTGCTGCCTCTGCTCTGTACTGCACTATGGCTGCACACAGCACAGAAATTTATTGGCCAAATTGTCAGTCCCATTGGGCTGATATCCAATATAGACAATTTTCTTTATATCAGTACTGATCCGATATCAGACCGATGGTATCAGTGCACCTCTAATACACACACACGTATGTAAACACTTACACATATACATACACATATATAAAGTTTGTACTACAAAAAAGTAGGTGCCAAAGTGCTGCTCAAAAACACATAATTTTCAGAAATTTCTTCATGAGTTGAACAATCAGACTTGCTGTTCATTTCCATTTCTGGTGCTAAAATTCCTTACAATAGCTGACTCAAATTCTGAGGCCAATTTGGATTATTTCACATAAAGGTATTATTAAACTCTTTGGCCATGTATTTACCGGAAAAAGCACTCATGGCTGACCAAAAATGTCAACCTGAGTCTCCTCTGAAAGAACATACAGTTACATCTGAACACTGTCTAGAGAGGCTAGAAAAGACCAAACTGTGTTCACCTTCCATTACAGGAAGCATATTAGGATGTAATAAGTAATTGGCAAAAATTCCCACCAATAAAGCTTGAATGTTTTGAGGCTATCTTGAGGGTCACCCTTTTGTCTATCACAGCTTTGTTTAAAAAAAAAGGGGTATATCTTTGTAGGGGTGCACCAATAGAGATTTTTGGGGCTGATACTGACAGCTGATTTCTAAGGACAAGCAGCGTGCAGTGGTGGGAGTGGTCTCCCCTCCCCCCGGATGAGCTGCAGCTCCATCCCGTGCCCAGCCTAGCCTGGCTGGGCAGCGCTTGTCCCAGCCCCTGCCCCAGTCCCACTCCTCCCTCACTGCGGAGGCCTTGATCTGCCCCCTCCACACCCCTTCCCTTCCCCCTAACCTCTGCCCTCCCCTTGGACCACAACTGACTTACCAGCTGCACGCAGTTTTCTAAGCTGCCATGCTGTGCTCCTCACCACCTACATGCTGTGCTGTGGCTGTGGGCATGCACAGGTATTTATCAGCCAAATTATTGGCCGTATCAGGCCAATTTCTGATACAGACAATTTTATTAATATTGATGCCAATCCAATATCGGACCAATGTATCAGTACACCTCTATATCTTTGTTTCCAGTAGAGTCTCTTTGTATTAGTATATGCTGAGTTCCGAGGACTGTGTTACAAGGATATGATACCATATAACTCAATTTGCCTCTTTCTGATTTCACTGTCAGGGTTCTGTGTAAAAATCAATTCCCTGGTTTCCTCTGTACAGTCAATCACTTTCCCTTCTTGTCTGTGTGAGCCCTTCAAACAGTAACTGACACATGAAAAACATCTTAAAATAGGGGGAAAATGTCATCATAAAATAACAGAAACTGGGAGACAAGAAGGCAGGAGGGAGTTTGTTCCCCCCCCCCCAACAAAAATAAGAGAGACACGTTTCTGCTTTTCCACTCCTTCCCACACATGAGCATAGATACATAGAAAATTATTTTTTTCCTCTTCCTCTTTTATATCTGGTCATTCTTAAGGTTTTTACTGAAAATTTAAGGTCCTGCTTATAAAGAAAATAATGGTAACAAAGGTAGTTTGTGATCCTGGTGCTAAAATTCCAATAATTTGAAGAAAAAATCACCTACTGTTTTCTTGGAAACAATTTTTAAAAAATCAGTCTACAGCACTGGGAAGTGAAAAATGCATGTCCGTAAAGTTTTCAGTCTGCTGACAAGCAAAACATCATGATGTTGCTGTGTGACATGAATGGCAAACAACTTATTCTGTGAAATAGCTTGCAAAAGTCAAATCCTGCTCTGAAAATCCCTCTGAAATGAGATTGCTAGCAGATAGCTTTTCAGGTAATACATTTTAAAAGTTGGAGTGCTTTGTATGTAGAATGTGATGGTTACTGACTGATTTGCTGCTTAGAGGTTTTTCATTATATGTATTGTACTTATTGCTTGGGAAGAATTTTGGAAAAAATGCAAACAAACAGTCTTTCCTCATCATGACACAAAATCCTGCCTTAAGTAACACAACAAAATTTGTTGAAGAAAAGCATTTTTAAGCTATATGTCTGATGTAACTATCAATGGGAAAAAATTATAATACCACACTGCAACTTCAAGATGTTCCTCATTGTTTGAATATCATTTTTGAAGCCCTTCATTCATTTCTGAAATGCTTCTTTGGTTGTGCAGCATTTGGAGTGTTTCAAACAGCACATTTGTCTAGGACCTTGGAAATTTTAGTCCAAGTGGCTGGGTCTCAACAAGATGCGGACTGTGCAGTAGCATCACGTGGCGCTATGCTGTGATGCAATGCCAGTGCACAGTCAGCGTCACAATAAAGCCATTTGATAATGCTACTCCGCAGTAATATGGGCTACTGCACAGTCATTTAGTACTTGTTTACTTGTTTTGTTCAGCAAATTAAGGTGCACATTTTTCTATTATAATGAAAACTGCACTACCACTTTTTCCTCCTTTACAATACAGCTTCAGAAAATACTTCCTGAATGTGCTTTCTAAATACTTTCTACTATTGTAAATATTATAATTCTTCCAAAATAAAAACAGATCATTCTAGTTTTTCATTTAAAAGAGCAGAAGTGCAGGTTAAGGATGTTACACTCTGGCAATCAATACACATATAAAACACAAAGGCATTTGGGTCATAAACCTATAGGAACTGTTTGTGCTGGGTACATTTAAATACATGTATTTTTTTTCAAACATGCAAGCAAGAAATAATATGCTCAAAATACACATTAAAATACTGAGAATCAGTTTTCCTGCCATTCCCACTGAAGCAAAGCAAAATTTGCAAAACTAGCTCATGTTAACAAATTATCAAAGATAAAGAACAGATGCTGTTTTGTGCTCAGTGAAAATGTTAGGGAAACAGGCAATATTAAATTGAATTCTGGCAGTCTGCAGCTGAATATATAATGTTTTCTTTGTAATGGTTCTAGCAATAAGACCAGACTTGCACACAAACACATAAGAAGTTTTTATTTTGTCAATTAATTCATTAACCCATTAAGAAGCCAAGAACCAGGGCCCTGATCCCACAATCAGATTTGCAGCTTTGTGCCTATGGAAAGCCCAGTGAAGTCAGTGAAACTGCAAGGTTGTATGGGCTGGCATTAATGGGTCCAAATGCAGGATTATGCCCCGAAATGCCAATTTTACACATCTGGTATACCTGGAATTTCCTTTTCCCTAAAGACCAAATCATACTTGTCTTATTGCAATTGCCTCAGCAAAGTCACTATAACTACATGAACAAGAGAGATGAACAGGAAAGTGACCCTTAGGCATATTGTAAATACTTTTTAAAAAATATGTAAGTTGAGTGACAGCCCTGAAGAGAAGCAGATAGACAGTTAATGGCATATTGACACTATCTTCATGCTGCACCCAGGAATGCCACTGTGAAACATGCTCTATCACTTCACTTCTACTCTCTCCACTTGCTCCTACTTTCAGGAGTATGCCAATGCAGCTGCCTTAGAGTAGTCCTGTGCTTGTGTCTAGACCAATTCTCTGGCTCCACTTGCCTACCAGCATGCACTAAGGACTGCTCTGATGCAGCCACTCCATCTCAATGTTGCGCACATGGAACAGGAGTGAACTGGTGGAATAAGCTTTGCAGCAGTACTTCTTTGCCCAGCACAGAAACTTGCATAAAAGACAGGACTTCAAAACTATTACAGTCTATGTATCAAGATAAATCTACAGGTCAAATGTAAAGATACAGTCTTTTGTTATGACACCACAATTAAAGCATGCTGCATTTATTTTTTTTAAGAGAAAGATTCAGTAAAAATGTATTGCCTTGGTCAGTTAATATTTGAATGTTTCCAATCCACTTACTTTGCAGTGGTTACTAAGTCAACAAGCCATGAAGCTCTTTAAAAGAAGCTTCCATTTCTAAGCATGCTAATTTTCTAGTAAGATCAAGCACCTTAGCAGTCTAATGCAGCTGTCTGCTTTGGCTGTATATACCCGTGGGGTTGGTTTGTAAACCCTCATCCTTCATAAGTGCTAAAGAACTTAATCCTATGGGTCATTTGGGTTCTACTTATTAATTTTCCTTTTCAAGTTCTACAAATCACCTGAAAGTCAAATGTTTTGTGAAAGATTTGAGTTTCACAGCAGAATTTATAGTTCAAGTGCAATTTTAAAAAATGTACCTCAACTTAAGTTTCAGTATCAAGGTAGGCAATAATTTATTTTATTAAAAAGCATCATATCACTAAATTTTCTAAATAAAAGCAATCTACATTTAAAAAAATCAGAAGCCATTCTAAATACATTTCAGATATATTTCTTAGAACGTGTGCAGACATTCACTCTCCCAGAAAAAAACATCCAGTGAGTGATTTAACTATTGTTATTCCTGAGTTATTCTTCTCCTGGAGTGGCCATTTTTGCTCTGGGAAAAAAGTCCTGAACATTTGTATTTGTGGTTCTTCCTGGGAGAGCAGCTACTCTTCCAGGAGAAACTGAATGTCTGTACATGGCTGTAGCATATACCTAAAATGCAGTATGGAGCCTCAAAAGAAGTATGGTCAGATGGCCTAATAAGTACTGTTTATAGATGTTTGCCCAGTACTTAATGATTGGTACCAAGAACAAGGCAAATTAGGATCTTGAAATATTCATGACCAAATTCAGTAAAACCTCTGATAAATTTCCATACAACAGATTCCTAGTCAATGGTATGCATCGGACAAGTTTTTTTTAAATTAATTTTATCCATAAATATCAAACAAAGGGCTATTCACTGTTGACATCTCATGTCACATATTCAGAGTCTGAATTCACTTAAATAGATACGCAAAAGAAACACTCACTAAATAATTTTCATCCTGGAAAGCATAGTGCAACGTTGTGATCCACTGGTTGTCTCCATTGACTAGTACATCCCTCTCTTCTCGGAAACAGGCCGTCTGAATGGGAGGAAAATATATTTCAGTTACAATATAGTGCCATAGCGTCATAAACAAGAAATGTATTTCAGGATATGGCAACCATTTATTTAGAGTGGCACTACAAGTTATATTTGTCCCCTTCAATACAAGTCATTAATACACATGCCTGACACATTAAGAGCAAGATGCCAGCAATATGACAGCACTTCATATCATCTTACAGTAAAATTCAATTGCACTTCCCAGTTAGAGTTCTTGTAGTGAAGGCAGAAAGAAAAAGATTCTTTTACTTTTTGTCTTTATATCACTGGTCAAAATCTTCTGTCATCTATACCTGTACATACAGAATTCAAGTCATATTATTGTAACTGAAGGTGGAAGTTACTACCCTACATGTGTGCAGTGTCTTCTGTGATTGTTAAAACTAAGGAACTGTAAGTGTTTCCTTCTGAAAGCTCATTTTCAAGATTTATAATTTATCCAAAAATTACAGCAACAGTTGTGCAAAACAGTTTTACCATACATCATTGCATAAGGCTGACTTATCTATAGCAGGAAAATATTGTCAAAGTTCTAATTACAGTTGATTTAAAAAAGACTGTTCACATTATATATGTATATGTATATTAATACAAATAAATATACAGTAAAAGCTCTGTCATCCAGCATCCATGGGGAATGGGGGGTGCTGGTTAATCAAATGTGCTGGTTATCTGGGAGTTTTACCTATCTCCAGCCCAGCGGGTTGGAGACATCTTTGCCTGTTTGGCTGCCACCCCTCCTGCTGCATCTGGTGCGCCAGGGCTTTCACTCCCTGGTGTCAGTGTGCCAGGAGACAGGGAGGGGGTCCCATGCAGGCTGCTTTGCCCTGGGCTGTGGTCCACGAGGAAGAAGTGGGACTCGGCTCACAGCAGCGAAACTGGAAATGCCACAGTGGGACAGATGAGTATTCCGGATGGTAAAGTGCCAGATAACACCGCTTTTACTGTATATACATTCATACCATGACATTCATCCTATTGCTCCTGAAATTCACAGGATTGGGCCTCGAGTATTATGGACTTGATTCACAATGCTGTTAAATCCAGTTTACAATTGTATTCATATCTGAACATATACTTTTTTAAATAAAAGTAACTGCCAATTATTCCCATCTACTCTTCAGTCTAGCAACTGCAAACCTTGTTGTATCTTTTTTGGCATCATTTTTGAAAGAAAGGAGAACATGGAGTTGTTCCAGCCATAGTAGAAGTGAGTAAAAAAAAAAAGATAACAAAGAGGATATGTCAGAAGCACCTTGGAATGCAAAATGGACGGAAGCAGAAGTAGATTAGGGAGTCACTAGTGTAAAGATCACTGTTGAAACCTTGAACACTGTTGATCACTGAGATCATGCAAGTGACAAGCTATAAAATAGCAAGAACAGACTAAAAGTGGAAACTTCTGGGACTCTGAAAAAGACTGGAAACAGGAACAGAAAATAAGGGATGGCTGGGGAGGAAGAAAAACTGTAGTATACTGTTGTAAAAAGCCAAAGAGGATAAAGTATTGGTATGGGGAATCAACGCTGTCAAAAGCAGCAAACAAGTAAAAGTGTATGGAGCAGAGGCCATAAGATGCATCCAGGAAAGGCACCGACCATCTTAAAGAGAGCAGCTTTGATGACATGGGGAGGAAGGATACCAAATGGAACAGGATCCAAGAAGAAAAGTGTAAGAAGGAATTGAGACAATGGTTAAAAATGATACATTACAATAATTCAGGGATGAAGGGCAGAAGAGAGGGATGATAACTGAAGAAGTCAATAGGTATTTTTTGGTTTTGATGAGAAAAGCAGGATATGCTTGGGTTTGGAAGTGTGTAAAAAGAGAGAAGAGTAGCTGGATGGCATGAGGGGGCAAATGGAGAGTTAGAGGTAGAGTATATCCATGTTCATCCATTAAAACCATGCTCCTTGTCTGCTTCTGTAAGAGAGAAGCTGTGCGCTTAAAAATCAAACTTTTTCATATTACTTTTTCCAACTTAATTTCTCAAAAAAAGCCATATACCACAATCTAAGTTCCATTTCCAGGATGGTTATTGTTGGCAGTGAGATTTGGAGAGTGGAGAACGAAGAGTGCAACTTAATGATTTTTGTGCCTATCTGAATCACAAACATCCAAACACCCCCCGCAAAAAACTAGTTTTGACCAGTAAAGTGAGCAAGTGTGACACAGAGTTCAGAAACAAGAAACACTTACTTCTTATATTTAAATAGTTACATTACACAAAGGAGAAAAGAAATAAGTGAAACCAGGTTAATTAACATAATGCACTGTCTAATAAACAACAACCCTCAATGAAGCTGGAATGAGTAATGATTGGCTTTTCTGGATTTTAGAGGGCTTGTTTTTTTGTTGGGTTTTTTTTTTTTGGCTTGTTTGTATTTTAAATCCTGCCAGAAATTTGAGAAACAAACTATTAATTTTTGCTGTTTTCACCAACACAACAAGAAAATTACTGCACATTATTATACAGATGCATAGTACTGGTTACTACTGAGAACCTATATCATTCCATTTGTTTGTGCCAATTTATTTGACAAAAATTCACAGAATAACATGAATTCCTCGAGCACCAAAAACACCCACTCCTGGGCAGTTTGCCTGGAGCTGGCAGCAAAAGCTTTTACCACAGTAGATCACATTTGAAACTTTAATAGCCTAGCAGAGAAAGCAGGAGAAGCTCTCTTCCTAGCACCATTATGTCTCAGGTTCCCACTCTCCTTAAACAATTTGTTTTCTTCTTGGATCCTCAGTACATTTTCCTGTGGATTAAGCTTTGCCTAATCTACTCTGAAAGCCTCTGGATTTCTGTATTAGTTTTGATGGAAAATGTCAAATCATTTAGACTGCTTTGAAACTCCCAACCTATACATGTTCAAGGTAAATGTTTAAAATGTTTATTTTTGTACATATAAACTGCTTTAAGCTACAGTGACCTCTGGGTTCCCTCCTGTGTGGCTGGGACAAACACTACATAGGGGGTGCCTCTCCTGAGTTTGTCTGGTCATACTAATTTGCACTTTACTACTTTGAACTGCCTGGCCCCTAACTCCATGACTAGCTCCTCTTGGGCTATCAATCCCTCCTTTTTCCCTAGCAGTATGCATTTCCAGGACTTTCTGACACTACTACTGAATTATGTAAGGCAATGAGTGAATAATGGGGCTTGCTGCATGATAAATGAAGCACCACACAAGCAAAAAGCCCTTGAGCACTCATAGTTGAGCAAAACACAAACAGGAAGCAGATTTAAGTCTGAAAACAGAGTAAGAGATACTCTTTTTCCTCTTCCAGGATACAATGAAAGTGCGGTAAGATAACTTAAAATCAGATTGAAGACCCAAGAATTGGTGATTGGTTTGACTGCTAGCTTCAGTGTATATATTATCAAACTGTTGATAATGCACGTTAACTTCAGAACTACGTTGCTTTTATATGTAGGGCACATCTTTTGTCCATGTACAGATCATAAACAGAAGGTTTACAAAGGATTTGGCTCTTTAGTATCTAATACTCCACATCCCTTAACCACCTAGTTTTAAATAAATCCAAAAGTTTTGTTTTAGCTATAGTGATATACTATACACAATTCTAGAAATGTGCTGTAATACAAATGAAGTCACATACGTTAATTCAATGGCATTTTTTACCTTCCATTTTTTCCATCTTAATATTTATATCCTGATGCTACCTAAAACTTGAAACCAATGGTTAACAAGTAAGGTGGATGGGAACTCCATAGTGCTTCTAGAGAGCATTTCCAAAATCAAAATAAGCCCAACTACTGATTCATGTACATATTGTACTTTTTATGAAAATTGTATCACGTTAAAAGAACATAAATTGTTATGCAGTCATTTGACAAACCATGAGTATTTATTTGGAAATGTGAAATAATGAATAAAATACTGCACAATCTTGTATTGATTTCAGTATTAGGGAAATTACAGTGTGCAAGGCATTTCATTATTTAAGTAATATTGAACAAATCAAAACCAGGAATAAAATTCCATTCTATTTTTAAATATAACCTCGTTGAGCCAATTTCAAAACTGTATTTCTATTAAAATAAAGTTATAAATAGTTTTGAAAGATTTTTCTCTATGTAATATATTTAAAATACCCTTTCCATGGGTCCAGTTGGGTTTCTTGAGGTCTGCATAGTTAGTCTAAAAAGGAATTGCTGCTATATTTTCCACTTGTTTAGTGACCCATGGGCATTAAATGGAAAAAGAACCATCTGGAATTAAAATACATTACATAGCATGAACACTGACACACTAAATACCTGCAAATAATTGTTCTTTTCCATTTTTACTGTATGTGCCTGTTATTATTATAATAATACATTTTGGCAGGATCTGTATAATGAGCTACATGAACACCAAAGTAGGTTCAAAGATGGAAGTCAGGAGAAGGTAGCCCATACAGAAGATTCTAAAACAAAATTTAGATTGTGAAGTCAAACACTGAACTAGTAGATTTATGGTTGGTTGGTCTTTGTAACATTCTTTCTGCTTTCTTGGGCATCCAGTCTCTGAATGAAGTAGGGGTCTTGGAGAAAATAAAAGTATATGAACATATAGTTAAAAATTATAAGGCATATGCTCAGGGGACCAATTTAAGTTTACACTGACAACTGTAAATCTGGCATTTCTTAATCTATGAGTACTTGACTTTGCAACTTTTAAAACATAATACAGTTTTCTGTATATGATTTCCCAATTGTTTTAAAGATAAAAAAACAACCAAACTCAATTCTCTTACACAGAACAGTAATCAACTCCCCAGGTTCTGAATCCTGCATCTTCAGTGCAGTAGCACAAATTGTACTGGTTGTGACACAAGAAGAAAGAATGAGATTCACAGAAAAATTTAGATGCCTAAATTAAAACGCAATTCACAAAATTTTTTCTAAAGCTATTTAGGCACCAAAGAACACCTTGGCACTTAAGTCTTCTGGTGAAAGCTGAT